TGGGGAGGGTTGGTTGTAGGATGGTGGCCATAGGGAGGGCATGGTGGTTATCAGGAGGTCATGGTGTGCAAGGGGAGGGTTGGGACTATGGAGGTCGGTGGCCGTGGGGCTGGGGCTATGGAGGAGGTCATAGGGGCCCTAGGGAGATTGTGGTGAGCAAAAGAAAGGTCGGGACAGCGGAGGAGATTGACTGTAGTGAGGTGGCCGAAAGGAAGGTTGATTGTAAGATGAGGGGGTCAAGAGGAGATGGTGTGCACTAAGGGAATGGTGGTGGCCGTGGGATGTTTTGGCCGTATGGTGGGGGTCACAGCAGGACACTGGTGGCCTTTGGAAGGGTTGGCAGCTGCAGTGTGGTGGCCACAGCGAAAGCCGGCTGTAATGTGGTGGTAGTGACCAGTGGGATGCTGGCGCCATGGGGCTGTAGACTGTTGGCATGAGAACCGTGGTGATCATGAGGGTAACAGTGGCCATATTAAGGACTGGCCCTATTCTGGTTGCCCCGGGATGACTGTTGGTGGCCACGAGGGTGTTGGAGAGGGTTGAGTGTCACATGGTGGCCACCGGGAGACCATTTGCTTGCCACTTGTCACCCTTGCAGGATGAGGACGGCAACACTCTGTCCGACGAGGACATCGCAGCCGAAGCTGACACCTTCATGTTCGAGGGTGAGGGAAGGCCACCTGCTGCCATGGGGGACCCCGTGTTGTCCCCCCCACTCACCCCATGCCCCCACAGGGCACGACACGACGGCCAGCGGGTTGGCCTGGCTGCTCTACAACCTGGCCCACCACCCAGACTACCAGGAGCAGTGCCGTCAGGAGGTCCGTCAGCTCCTCAAGGGCAGGGACGTGGAGGAGATCGAATGGTGAGAGATCCCCACCGTTCCTCCCTGCCACGCAGCTCGGGGAACGCGGCGCCACCATCCTTTGCCCCCCAGGGAGGATCTGTCCCTCCTGCCCTTCACCACCATGTGCATCAAGGAGAGCCTTCGCCTGCACCCGCCCGTC